GCTGTTTCTCCCTCTCCATACATACAGGTAAAAATGAAAGGAATAAAAGCAGTGTTTCTGAAAGGGTTCCACTAATAGAACACCATCAGCATTACAAACAGAATGGAATTTCAGCCATTTTCCCCAAAGCTTTCTCTGAGAACCTCTAATTTTCACTCGTGCTACTGCTGCTGTAAGTGCCCTGTGTTACCAACTCGGGACGACTCAAATACTTGTTTTTGCTTTGCTAGCCACCCTGCATTTAAGGAGATGTGGCAGGATATAAATATTTTAAATAAATCAATAAATTGCACCTCATATCTGTACCAGTCACAGCCACTGGGTGATACACCCTATGCCAGAGGAAAAGGGGATCTGAACTCCTAAACAGGGCTCCTAATATGAATGGCTCTGTCCTGGGAACTTGAAGAAAGTAGAAAGGGGGTTGAGTGGACCAACACACTGTGGCTACCTGGGTCTAACCTCCACTGCATGGTTTCTGGAACCAGGGAACCGATGGACAGCTGATATACCCAATCCTATACCAACCCGTGATGAAGCCTCTTCTGGAAATCAATGTACTGCCAGAATGGAAGGGCTTCAAATGCTTTCCCCTTCCTCTGAATCCTTCCTGCTGCCTGTCTAGTTGCTCCATCCGAGCATCCTGAAGAGATGCAACCAGCACATAAGGGCTGGTTTTACGCAGAACTGCTGCCTGCCCAGCTGGGGAAGAGGATGATTTCCATTCTCATGACTCTGCTGAGCAAGAATGTGCCTAGCACAGCCACACTGTTTCATGCAGCTCCATACCCACGCTATTTCCAAGGCTCCTTTTTGCAGCTCAAGAGCCCCTGCATCATAGCCAGGGGCTTTATTGTCCCCTTGTATTATGAAGCATGAATTCCTGGAAAAGTAGCCATCTTTAGACAGAAACATTTGCCTATCTTAAAAGAGTAGTAGATTGGTTTAAATTTTACATTCTGAGATAATGACAGCACACACAGTTTAAGCCAGGTTGATTTAGGATGAAGCTGTCATACCCTACTAGAAACTGACCACACTATCATAAGCATAGATAGACAGATTGGATGGAGGTTGCATTGAAAAGTGGTAGCTGGGCCCTGTTACACGGAATATGGTACACATCTGAGCATAATAGTAACTGTTGACAGTGGGTGACAGTGGGTGTGGCTAGCATTTTAAGTGCTGCCAGTCAAATACACAACTGACTTTCTTGGTAGTGCCAGAAGCATCAAAGGATTCAGAAATATAGGTGTATCAATGGTTAAGACTGATAGCAAATGAGCCTGTCCATTTTCTATAACCTTGGAGCCCTGAAACAAATAGACCAATGTTTAATATACTGGTTCTTCTGCTCAATTACTGTTTTCATGACAAGAGTCATAAACAGTGAGCCATCACACACTAAAAGGGAAGGCTACAGTTTACTACCCTAGGTACTGATTTGTAAAGCTACTTTGTAGAGGTTTGCCTCCTGCCCCAAGCATTACGGGATCATGCTCCTTCCATGTTGCTGTAAAGCAAATGCAAATGGGCACACACATGCTATAACCACTCCAACTTCTGAGAAACCTTTGTTATACACTCTAAAAGAATAGCAAAGTTAGGAATGTTGCAGCTGCATGTCTTGTGGAATATTAGAGATGCAACTAATAAAGTAGGTTTTTGCTTTGGAAAGCTCATGCCACATCCCCCCCCCCATTTTAAAGGCATCATCAGAATCTTTTCTGCTTTTTTATAATTATAAAGCAGTGTTACACCCCTCTAAGTCAATGGGCTTAGAATGGTGTAACCCTGCTTAAGATCATACTGAAAAAAACCCACCTATTTCTATTTTCCCACTAAGTGCCACTCTTTTAATCGCTTACCATCATAGTAGAATTTGACGTTTTCGGGCAAAGGTTCATATGGCGGTGCAAACACAGGACCTTTGTGCTCCAAGAACTTCCACTTAATACCTTCAGGATAGCGTTCTTCCTCCCACCTTTAAGAAGATAGAGGGAAATGAAAGTGCATGTCTATTTAACTGTTGTCATGTGGATGTAAGCCCTCCAAAGAATCAGACATTGCACTCTCATCTGATTGTCAAAATTAGTCATATCCAAAAACTCCACTGGCTTCCGATACTTCTTTTTAACTAGAAGTTGGCAGTTAATTGAAAAATGATGTAACAATTACTGTTTGGGGGCATTCATTCCAGTTGAAGTTTAATCTGGACAGCCAAATGGTTGTGTAACACAATTACATCCGTGCCTGGTTATTATAATATGCCAGTACTTCTGATGTCCTTACAAACACTAAAGCCAGACAACAACTGGCAGACGTCAATGCCACTTCAATTAAAAAAAAGTTTGATATTTTATATTTTATTTTAATTACTGCATACTACCTTGGTCAATATTTAATAAGAGGCTTGGGCCCCAGGAATGTTCCACTAATGGCCCTTGCTCCAGAAGAGGGGGTGCACTTTCTGCTGGTGGAAGGCACTTTGAATTGGAGGAAGGCTCTGCTACTAGTGGAATGGAGGTCTAATTTCCTCCCCAATATAAAAGAAATCTGTAATTTAACTTCTAGTTAAGGAGCTCTTCCTAGAGAAAGATGAGCTACGGGACAAAATTAGGACTGGAGTAACAGAGCCAAGCTTGTAATTAAAGGACCATTTACGATAGCGGTCTAAAATTCTGCATGGTTCTAATGGTTCCACAGAATGGTTGTGGGGTTTTTTTGCATTAAAAGAAAACCTGTACCTGTAACAAGGGTTTAAATTCTCAATTAGTAACTGTGATAGAGTTTATAACAAAGCTGCCCTAAGCTTGGCTTCGGGGGGGGGGGGGGGATAATAAATCGAATGAATGACCAATACAACTGCAGAAAACTTTGGTTAAGCTTTAATACAGGTCTTCCCCAGCATATGGTCAAAGAAATATGTTTGTTCCGCCCTTCAACTGGAATGTGTAATTCAAGAGTGACACTGGGGGCTGCTTCACATGACACAATATAAGCAGAAAAACATTATTTTCTCCTCCTCACTGCATATATGTCATATAAAAACAAACAACAGGGAGCTGTGATTGGCCCTTACACCTCAGCAGCTCTGGTAGGCAAACACAAGTGGTGATGAGGATGTTTAGCTATATCAGACATTATGGAAGAATAAAAGGTATTAGCAACACGTTTAACATGTACCTGCATCTACCACATGATGTATGAAGCGGCTACAGTAGGTATGACCATCTGAAAGTGATACCAACAGGGATAAAAAGGAATATTGGAAGCAGCCCAGAGTGCCACACAGAACCCTATTTTAGAAGTGGCAAAACTCAGTCAGAGGATTAGCGACTCAATGGTCGAGCGCCAAACTGCAGGCCTTTCACTAGACTCCCAAGCGTTCTCCTTCCTCAGCTATGCCATTCCTGTCTTACAGGGAAATCAAATGTCAGACCTAACATTAGAGTGGTTGCTAAGAAAACCGCTTGCTTTCTCATTTGACTTGCGCGGCAGGGGGCCGGCAGCGCTCTTCTCACACGCAGTCCTTTAATTACCCCCAACCAAACTGTTTCAACATAGCCGTCATCCCTCTGTCCTGAATGCCACCACCAGATCTTGGATTTCCATCTAGTCGCTTTCGCATGGAGGTGGCATTACAACCTGGACATCCTACATCCACATTCTGGGAATAAATCTGAGGGCATGGGCTGAGTTCCTGCAGCTTTAGTCTGAAAGCAGTTCATGAGGGCATTTCCTGTATTTGGAATAGAGGTGCGGGAGCTTCAGTGGTGAAAAAAAAAATGTTGAGAAAACACTTTCAACAGAAGTGTAACAAAGCTGCACATGAATCACCCTAAAATTCAAATTGTAGTGCAAATCATCGAGATCATCTTCAATTAAACAAAATGCTGAAGGATGCTGTTCCAGGAAGAGCAAATGCTGTCTAGATGATGCTACAGAAGAACCCATCCTTAAGTAAGAGGGTTCAGGTATCTCTTGACTCGTGATTCTGCACAGAAATAGTCCTTCATGCATTTCACAGCGAAAAGCCCACGACTGGAAGCAGTGCTCAAGCCCAGTTTTCTGACATATGTACCAATCAGATACATGCAACAGTAAATGGACATTGCCTGCACATATAAGGTCTGAACCAGCTAAAATTTAAGCTTGTTTAGTCCTGTTGATCTCAGTAGGAAAGGTTAGCATATTGTTAATGCTCCATCACTGAAATGAATGAAACATTAATTTTTGAACTGCGCCCATTCTGTTTTTACATGCCTTTTTAAAAAGCAAGTGTGTGAATCAGCACTAGGTGAAGATCAGAATTCTATCATTAGGAAAAGCCCAGCCTTGAGAGGTGAGGCAGGAACAAGCACTTTTCATTAACAGCAGTTACAGATGGGCCTAGGAAACATCAGCAGGGAGGCAATCTAAACAACTGCAGTGCTTAGCAAAAATACACCTCTGAGCGTACAGCTTGATTAGCCAGTCAGCATGGCTTTCGGGGATCTGGCAGTGCTAACAGGAGCCTGGCTGCCAAACCCGGAAAGCAGGAGAGAAGAATAAGACAGAGGTTGGCTGATGCTCGAGAATGGCTATAACAAAGGCACTGTGATAACGGTATTCTAGAAAATGATTCAGATGCAAAAAAGATGGTGAAAGATTTCAACTCAGATCTCTTCCTAACTCAATAGTTTTTACATGCCCAAAGCCTGTTAAAAATGAAAAAGATCAAGTTATTCTATGCATGGTCCAACCCGACAGAGAGAGAAACAAGAAACTGTAGCCACATAGTTATAAACCTAACTGGGAATACTGCATCTTGAAAATAACAGTAAAAAGATCAATGATGAAAGGGCCAAGTAGGGCTGACATTCACAAAGCAGCAGCAAATCTCCACTCGATGGGGAGCTGAACCAGAGACAGTCATGGATCTGAGATGTGAATCTGTACACCTGTCTGCCAAAAAAATATTTTCATCTTATAGTGGGGTTTTTTAACATTTTTAAGTGTACACAAGAAATAGGAACATTAGAAGTCAGGGTTATATACAGATCCAGCTTCCGGAGGCCACTGTTGAGGCATGGAAAGGAAGGCAGCCGCTAGGCACCTTTCTGCTGCACCTGGACCTGGCTCCATTAATGGAGATTGTTTTCCTTTGCTCTTAGCAGCAGTGGCAGGAAAGCTTCATAGACGGGAGAGGATACTGAACATCTGCTTCTCAGTGCCTCTTTGGCCACTACAACTGCAGAGAAGGGAGCAGTTAGCAGTATTGCAGAATAAGACCTTCCCCTTTATAGACTGACAATGTTCAGCAACTGATGTAAACTCAGCAAAAGTTCCAGGCAATGGTGTACAGCAGGGGTGGCCAAACTGCAGCTCGGCAGCTGCATGTGGCTCTTTCACACAGTCTAATTTAATGTTAATAAAAAGCAAATTTGCATATTTTTCAATAAAAATGTATGTGTAATATCTGTTCATGTCTTGCAGCTCTCAAACATCTGACGTTTATTCTGTGTGGCTGTTACATTAAGCAGGTTTGGCCACCCCTGGTATAGAGCTTTTCACCCCATGGCTCAGAGGACAAATACAACCACAGCAGAAGCAGCAGGAAGACCATGAGGAGTAAAGACAGGGTAGTGGAACGCTGACCCACCAGAGAAGTGCACAGGTATTTTTAAAGTGTCAGAGCTACCTAGACTCTAATGGAAGATGCATTTCAGGATGAATTAAAAAAGCAATAATGGGGTATAACAAGGCAAAGAAATGAGAAAGAAGTTTAAAAAAATAAAGCAGTGAATTCTCCCTCAACAAAGAACTCTATTGAGACAGCAGAGAAATCGTAAGCTATTCTCAGATTTTTATGGATAGGAAGGAGAGAAAAAATTCAGAGTGTCGTTTAAGTGTGCAATTGGAAACCAGTCAGCATCAGCAGGTTAGATGATTCAGCTGTAAGGGAAAGCAGCCAGCTATTAGCTGAAGTATCACATATGGGGATGTTACCATTTCCATTTCTGTTCCTCCTCTTTTTTTGTTTTCTTCTTCTTCATATCTCTTTCAGGAAGCTTCTTATCTTTGCTCTTTATTTTCTTGGGTTTGCTGTCCTGCAAGATTGATAGGAGGAAGGGAATACACAGCAGTTATAAAAAGACATCCTTAAACCCGAAACAAATGATGTGAGTGCCATTTGACACGGCAGTGCACACAAAGGTTCGCAAGTATTTAATCAGTTTTACCCGCAGCAGGATGGTGCACTTGTCAACTAGTATGTAGAGCCTACCGTAGTGCAAAATAATAATCTTTTCAAAAGAAATTAGATAGAAGAAGAAGAAGAAGAGATTGGATTTATACCCCGCCCTTCACTTGGAGTCTCAGAGCGGCTTACAAACTCCTTTTCCCTTCCCCTCCCCACAACAGACACCCTGTGAGGTGGGTGGGGCTGAGAGAACTCTGACACAAACTGCTCTTTTTCAAGGACAGCTGTGCCAGAGCTTGTGACTGACCCAAGGTCACATCAGCAGGTGCAAGTGGAGGAGTGGGGAATCAAACCCGGTTCTCCCAGATTAGAGTCCGCACACTTAACCACTACACCAAACTGGCTATGTAGGTTTGAATGCCTTGACAACCTGCGTAGCCAATAAAACCCATTTTATCAGTGTGGTTCCAACTAAAACCTGATTCTTGCCTCTAAAATGTGAAACATCCATAAGCTAATCAGATGGCAAGAAATGTGTCAGAACAGGAATGTTCCTTACATGTATCAATGGGAAAGGATCAGTCCAGACAAATGGACAAAGGCAAGTATATAACAAAGGTGGCAAAAAGGAGTGGATACAGAGTAAAATGTATTAGAAATATTTGCTGGCTGTTCCCTCTCTCAGAAAGAATGGGTTGTTAAACATGTCAACTACTAAAAACATTTAAAAAGTAAATATCCATAGCAGCAGCAGGAAAATAAAACAAAACAGTAAAAGCAGCAGTTAAAAGACAGGGGGGAAAATGCAAAAGGGACTGCAGAAGAAAGCCCCAGAACAGTTGAGTGGCGGGAGCAATCAGCTGTTGTTCCAGGTTTGCTGGTAAGTCCCGAATATATCCTGGATTTTGGAGGGGATTTTTTTCGGTTCCCCCCAAAAATCCCAGATACATTGGGATGCCAAAACATATCTCAAAAATACCGATAAGGTGGTTTTTTGTAATATATTTTTAGTTTAGGTAGACCTGAATGCACACTCCCACTTAGTTATCGCATGGAAATGTTTATCATTTCCCCATTCCATAAACTGCTGTGAAGCATTTTCAGACACTGACGTCCATCAAAAGTAGAATGTGTATATGGTAGATGCTTGAAAGAGAGAAAGAAAATTCCCTTCTTGAAAGCATCAGACCTGACCCTACCACTTATCTCTGTGTCCCCATAAGATTGTGCTCACAGTGTGGCTTTTACATTGCTTTTCTTGACAGCAGGGCCCTCGCACTGCATCAGATAACTATTCTCTTCTGAAGCTGTGTTAGGGAGCTACTGCTGAGAACCCATAAAAATCCCTGCTATGTATACTTGTCTTGCTGTGCACACTTCTCCAGATGAGGGTCATCATCTGACATGCGTCTTTTGAAGTTTTAAGATGAATTTCCTGTGCAAAGGTTGTATTCCTTATCCAAATTTGCTTATTATAATCTAATTGCACCATCCATTCTACAAGAAAATATGTTCATAATACAAGAAAAGTATCTTCAATACCTCTTCTTCTTGTTTCCTCTTCTTCGGTTTTTTGATCTCTTCGGTTTTTATCTTCTTGGGTTTATAGTCAACACTGAAACAAATCAAACAATTGAAAATAATCTCTTTTCAGCTCTGCATCTATATTAACCTTGGAAAAGTTGGCGCTGTGCTGTTCGTAGATGCCACAAACCACTGGTTTAGTAGGTCTGTGCTCTGAAAGCACCCTCACCTAACTGATCTTTTTCCCTGGTTGCAGCTTTCCCATAAACCCTGCTGCCTGCATTGAAGAATTAATTATGGCTTTTGAAGCCTAGTTCCTAACGATGTTAAGTGCTTTCTAGTGTCTATTGATGGACACAGATTTTCTGTCTGCGCCACAGATGACAGCATTGGACATACAGCACCTCTACTTAGTCCATTCCGAAAATGACACCCGAGCAGGGCAACTGTCTGTAAAAGCACTGCATCGCCCCTTCTCAAAGGTAACTAAGATGAAATCTGAATGGTACTAAGTTGAGCTTTCTTCAAGGTTCAATTCTCCTTGGGGGGGGGGGGATTGCATGACTTGGAACAGCATCAGGGATGTCAGATTGTCTGGCAAACATTTTTAGGGACTGAATGAAGAATGCAGATTAATCACAAAGATGATTATTTTAACATGGCTGCTTTCAATGGACTGAATTTCCAGTTCATTCCCTCCACGGCCCACTTCCCCCAATGCCACTCACTCATCGTCCTCTCGGTGTCTCTTTAGAGGCTTGAAAACTTCTTTGGGAGAAGCATAGTAGCCATCATCATCTATTTCTTCCTTAATACGTGGCGGACTAAGGAGAGATGCAGAGAAGAAGTGTTTTATTTAAAACCACGAATATCTAAAGCGTCAGCTGTAGGCCCTATCCTTACCCTCCATTTCAACCTGGGCTGGGACCTTTTTATTCCCCTTACCTCCAGTGTCTGGGTTCACACGCATCCCGTTCCACTCAGGTAATTTCAGTCCAGTGGGAAATATAATGCCACACAGCCTTCCTGCAGTAATTTTCTCCAAACTCTCCCTTGACACCCCTTAACCAACTAAGCTTCCACGTTCCTCCAGCACCCCATAGTAAAAAACTTTAATTTAAAATGGCTGCATAGCAGGAAAAAAAAGGACTGGAAATGACAACCACACAAAAATGGGATGCTTGGTTATAAATCGTGAACAAGCCAACAGATGTTTGTACATATGAGCTATTAAAGATATATATGGTTCCAAATCTGTGACAGCATTTCAGTTATCGTACCAATTCAAATTTTTATTTGAGTAAATCTACTCCTGTTGAAATACTTCTATAGTGGGTATGGGACAGAGCACAATATATTCAGTTTTATTTTACATAAAGCACTATATTGTGGGCTAGATCCAGACTAACGTTTTTGGAAGCACAAGATTTCTGCCCATGGGGCATGACTTTCTGCCTCCCTTCCCCTGCGGCAACCCAAAATGACCCCATGAAATCTTGTTATTGAGGGAGAGGGGGGACCCAGGAATACAATTTCAAGGTGGTCATTCTGGGCTGCTGTGAGCGGGAAGGTGGGGGAAAACATTCTCTATGCACAGAAATGTCTAGCGACCCCATGAAATCTTGTTACTGAGGGAGAGGGGGGACCCAGGAACACAATTTCAAGGTGGTAATTCTGGGCTGCTGTGAGAGTGGGAAGGTGGGGAAAAACATTCTCTATGCACAGAAATGTCTAGCCTGAATACATGCCTCCATTTTGTACACAACCTGTATTATACAAATGTTAGAAACCTAACCCATACATATGCCTACACACATACCCCTTTATGACTCCATGGTCAGCCAGAGGGAAGGGGAAAATAGATTTTTTTTACAAAAAACCCCACATTGTGTAAATACTGATTTTACACGCATGTCAGTGTCCATGAAATATATGCACAAATCAATAGGTATATAAAAGGTCACTTTGATACATCCATTTTTATTATTTGATAGAATGAACTAAAAAAACCTGTAACATGCAGCTGTCTCAAGAGAAACAGTCCAGAGTACCAAGTCCAAAATAACTTATGAGGTGGTACTTCCACCTCTCCTGGATTTATCTTCATAAGCTCCTTTGGTACTACCAGTTACAAATAATCTCAGATTTCTAAACTACGCTAGCCTACATAATCTGAAATTAGGTAGCAATTGTGTTGATGAGGCAGAACAGGATGTCGTTATGATTCTAACAGCTGGAATGCCTCAACAGCAAAGGCACATACATCTCTGAAGTTACAGAGAACAGATCCATGCTGTTACAAGGAGCCATTTTGATGGAAGTTGCTTCATAGGGCTACAACTCCAGCCACTAAAAACTAATTTGCTTATCTTGGGTTTCCCATCAAACAGTCTTTCCAAAGTCTGAAATTCTGCAATTCATTTGCATTATGCTGTTCCACAGAATGCACATGAGGCTGCAGTGAGCATGAATGCTTCCATCCCACTACAGCAGTCCTACAAAAGCCAAGACACTACAGGCTGTGGAGCCACCATATACTGTAGTACCCCCTATCTTGCAAACACCTTGCTATGATCAAATCTGATGGCAATGCATGAGCCATTGGGAATGTGGCAGCAGAACAGGATATTTCTTGCCACCTACCATACCAGAATGAAAAAACAGGCAGGAATCCCCTGGAGGATGGCAAAATGCCAATACCTCAAAACATTAGACATAATATCTCTCAGGGAAGAAGCTTCAAAACCTGTGATTTTATAACTGACTCTGCTTCAGCATCAAGTCTCATAACCTAAGAGGCCACTGGAGACAGTTCACATAAGGGCAGACAAGACAAGCCTAATGGCCATTTCTCCCCAAATGTATGATATGCATAGCTATCGCAGAACTTAGTTAAGAAAAGAGTTTTGCATTCTTCAGACTGCAGTTCCAACAGATGCCTAGAGAGGGGGTCCAACTTTCCTTGACCAAATTAAGGAACCATGGAGAAGTTTGGATGTCTGAATGCAGAAAGTTTGAGAAATCAGAGTACAGGCCTGAATATTAATATACCAGACCCAGAAAGACATGATTAGTCACTTTCCCTTTTCACTCTTCTCCAAGCAAACTGCATATATTAGAAATTATTCTTTACAAATAAGATGGGATACATAGTCCTTTCTTCACAGTGGAACAATGAACATATAATGATCATTAATGCCACCCCACCATTATACTGAGTATTTGATACTTGCAGGAGAACTGATTTTAGAAGTTAATGCTATTCTCTAGTCATTTAACATCAGAGGGTGACTGGTACATCAGAGAGTCCTGGAGCCAATTTCAGATGATGAGGAAATAGTTGGTCTCTCCCCAAACCCACAGAACAATTGACCTAAAGTCACCCAGTGAGCTTCAATACTAAGTTATGATCTGAATGTGGGTCTCCTGGCCTAAGCCCAATGATCTACTATCACACGCTGGCTTTCTTTACCTTTCCAGGCAAGTGAACGTGAGCATTCTTTGACAGGGAAGAGGCCCTTAAAACTTTCAGGAGACCCAAGTAGAGAAAACTCCATTCCTTTTGGAACAAGTCATGCCTAATAATCAAACCGATCCATTTACACACAAAGCTCCCATTTGCATACCTGGAAAACCCATTTTCCTTTTCCTTCTTTATTTTTACTTCACCAGAAGACGATTTACTCTGAAAGACAGAAATGATATTTGGTCAGCATGCCATAAAAATGCCTGGCAGGTCTTCCTTGTGCATCCAAATTCAAGTGACAAACGACACTGCACCAGGAGGAAGTGCACTTCCGGCTACTCCTTATGAATTCTTTCAGTATTATCAACTGTACCAGGCCTATCCTTCATGTTCGAGGTGTTACATCACTGTGTGATTATGCCTTTCGCGCCGATAAGAACAGACAGGGACATACAAAACCTTAAATTACTGTCTGCACATATTCTGTCAGGCTAAGAAGGTACACGTGTGTGCATATACTGGTGCAAGGGTACAGCATCCAGGAGCCTAGAAAACTCTACCTTGCATGGGAAACTAGTCTACTTATTGAGACGTTAATCTTTTGCTTCTATGAAGCACGTCATGACATTAATCAACACAAATTTATGACGTCCATTCAGACAGATGCATCATTACATCATCTCAAATGGCTTCATGCTGCAAGTTCTTATCTTCATGTTTGACCCAAGGTGTTTCTGTTGGACTGAGACATTAGAGTCGACTAGCAGGCAACAACTTAAAACTTCACAACCTGAAGCCACTCTCAGGTCTTCATGCACAACAAAGTACCGCCCAAAGCAGTCGTGTCCCAACCATCATCCTGTACCTTTTCTTCCTTTCGTTTCTCCTTGTCTCTATCTTTGTGTTTGTCTTTGTGTTTGTCGTGTTTTTCTGAACTGCCATCTTTGTGTTTGGTTTTCTCCTTCTCTTTGTGTTTTTTCTCCGAGGAATCTTTGTGCTCACTGTAAGAGACAAGAGTCAGTTCAGAGAAGCAATAGCTGGGATACAGCTGGTATCAGCGGCCAAGTGGAATGAAGCTCTAAGACCTGGAAAGTTCACTGTGGTAACTGTATTAATACAGAAATAAAATAAAACTGAATCATTGCCATTACTTGTGATTGTTTTGAGACAAGTGAACACAGCAGCTAATCAGTAACACCAACAAAAACTCATGCTAGTAAGATTTCTCCTGGATGTATTTCAATGATATAAGCACAATATTTAACACGCATTGCTGCTATTTTATGTATTTAAACCATTTTTTACCTCAAGCTCAACATAGTCCACAGGAGGCTGCGAATTAACAGATAAATATCTTTTTACCTGTTAACTCAAAAGCACATACAAATCAACAAGAGAAACAGTCACCCAGACCAACAATAAAATCACAGGCCAGAGCAAAAAACTGAAGTTGGCGCACTTATAAGAAACTGCCTCAGAGTATCACAGGATCAAACCAAAGAGCAGCATACAACAAAAACTATAGCCATATCAACAGAGGGACCCAGGAAAAGAAATTCAAAAGATCTAAAAATCAAATAATTTTTACACCAGGCATACAGACTACTATAATCAAGGTACGAAACCATCTTTTTTTTTGCTGTCAAGTCACAGCTGACTTATGGTGAACCCATGGGGTTTTCAAAGTAAGAGACGTTCAGAGGTGGCTTGCCATTGCCTACCTCCGCATCACAACCCTGGTATTCCTTGGAAGTCTTCCATCCAAACATTAGCCAGGACTGACCCTGCTTAGCTTCCACGCTCTGACGAGATTGGGCTCGAATGATCAAGATTTGAATTGGTCCCAGAACTGAACTGGCAGACAATGTATATCTTCTACAACTAGCAAGATAGGGAGGAATTTCAGACAGACGATATAATCCGGAAGAGGAACGGTTCCCAAACGGTTTCTGGTCTGTCATTTCAGACAGAACCGTTTTAGAACCGGTTACCTACCGGAATATATTTGTAATTTCAGACACAAACGCTTCTGTCCCGTTTAGGAAACGGGGCTGAAGCGTTTTACCTGTCAACCGCTTCCAAGTAGTCTTCAGTTTCCTCTCCCGGTTCCGATGCGCTTTTCCCCGCTGTTTTTCACCCGCCCGCGCAGGCGATCTTCGCCTTTTTAAAAAAAGTTCGCTTTATAGCGCTATAACAGTATAACGCAACAGCATTATATCAACCCCATTGGAATGCCTGGAGTGTTGTGTTATAGCACTATAGCGCTATGGCGCTCTAAAGCGAACATTCCAAAAAAAAGGCTGGTGTTCGCCCGCGCAGGCAAAAAATGGCGGGGGGAAAGCGGGGCAGTCTGAAATGGCAAACCGCTTCAGATCCAGCTCTTTACCGGAAGGGGAAAGGCATGTGTGAAATGGCAGCCATATACCGGTTTACTCCATGACAGATCAAAAACGGCTTCAAAACGGGTTAAAAAGGGTAATATGAAATTCCTCAGGGTCTTTATCAATGCTCCTTCTAAGCTGTGGAGTCTTCTGAGCAAAAATTCTACTTTCTGAGCTACTGGCATTTAAAGTTGTGAGCGAGCGATTTGGCTACTGCATAAATTAGTTTGCTCTGGAGCCATCCTTCCTGAGTTAAGACAAAAATGTATGAGCCAGAGGCTAAAAAACTGTGAGCTAGCTCACACCAACTCAGTTTAGGGGGAACACTAGTCTCCATAGCACAAAAGCAAGTAATCTTGGTTGCTGTGTTTTGTAAAAAGCAAAGCTTCTGAACACCCTTTAAAAGCTGCACATGGGTAACTGGAGCTAAATCATGCTTCTAAAGGAAGGACCACAGTTGGTAAACTATCTGGAGCTGGTTAAAAGGTGCTCCATGATAGAGGCAAGACCTGAATCCCTAGATAAGGATCCAATAACCCCTTCAAGCTGTGAACCTGCTTTTTTAGATGGATGGAAACCAATGCATAAGAGATTGAATCCTCACTATTGCTGACTGCTATATTGTTAACCGACAGTACCTCAGCCTTATCCAGAATGAGCTTTGTTTATTGGCCGTCACCCAGCCTATTACCAAGTCTAGGCAGTTGCTCAGGACATCCACCAACTCAGGAAGGAGTAAAGGAGAAGCAAAACTGAGTGTCAACAATATACTAATGACATTTCCCTTCAAGAGAGATGGCCTCTCCAAGTGATTTCATGCTGACATTAAGCATCTGACCCCAGCATCATCTTTAGGAACTGATCAGCCAGAGCACAGTGCTCCTGAGGTCTTACGTCTTAACTAAGTTTGCTTAGGATAATCAGCCCTTAGTTGGAACTGTTAGTAAATCATTTTCATACTGGAGAAAACTGAAAGAAACTCCATGTATTTGTAAGACAATGTCCCATCTTTATGACTTGTACACATATTAAATAACTTATTTTTTAAAAGACACCTGCAAAAGGGATGTGCTTTTATTTACAGTCGATCATTTACAAATCCAGCAATTCATGAGTCTTTCTATATGCAGCTTCATCCTTTGTACATTTTCTGCCTTCAGTGTTTTTCTGACATTAATAATCCTCAAACACAGATGACTTTGGCCAAGCCTTACTTCTCTCTCTCTCATAGGGGACCTGTGTCATTTGTGAGGGGAAGGAGAAGGAGCATTTCTTACAGTTGGTAGAAATTCCCATTATATCATGACATCTCACTAACTGGGGAGGGGGTGGGGGCTGAAGAGAAGTACTTTCATAATTAACTATTCCATGGTAGTTTAAACCATGACCAGCTACACTAGTACTTATTGACCTTACAGAGATGCAAGATTCAATGTCAGCATCTGGTTCATATGCAGAGGTTACATTATATCCAGGCACATGATAAAGAGAGCAGAGCACAGAGAACGCAGATGCTGGATGTGAGAAGTCAACAGCAGTCTGCTAGTGTTACATTCATTAGGTTTCCTAACTTCATCATCCTGACCCCTTTTGTCCTCACTGACTCAGCAAGTCACAGTGTTCTGAACTCCATTTTCATTCTTGCCACTTGCTACTGCCTTTCCATTTATTATGGCAGGATTCTAAAAAAAGTGCTGAAATGCCAGCATATCTGATTGCATGGAACAGCATGTTGATTCTTGATCCCTTCTGCAAAAAGAGGCAATACAACAAAGCTGAATGAGAAACTATATGTAAAAAGATAAATGCCATGTCCAGAAGCAACTGTGAGAACCTGATAAGAATTCATGACATAATTTGGATAAAGGTTCTTACATAGTTAGACCCCTATCTATTTATGGAATATATGTGAACCATCAGCCATCACGTTCCTGGGGTGGTAAATAAATACAAATACCACAAAAGCACAAGAAAGGTTAGTTTTATATAGAATATACATCTTGTATATGTTTATAGTACTAAAATAAATCCCTGTTCCACCTTAGCCACTCAAAACTTGAAGGAGACACTGGGTTGGAGCCTATGAATTCTGAAAAGAACAGAAAACCCTTGGGAGCAGAGGGCTATAAAGAATGGGCTGCTGACTGATACGGACAGTTCTCTACAGCTACTTCCGTGTCTTTAGGTGAAATCTTTGACTCTGACTCGGATTCCAACCTAGGAGTAACTGCTCCTAAAACCTTTAAAGTAAATCTCCCCTGGCAAAAGAAGAAAAGTAAAACTAAGAAATAACCTAAGTGACGACATTTAATGAATTCATATTATCAACCAGATGTGATATAATACCAAAAATGCCTTTTTGTTCTTTCTATTTGAATACTTTTATTAATAATAATAAATAATAATACTTTCAATTTATTAATCGCTTTCCCCAGTGGGCTCAAAGCGATGTATAGTTACACATTTTAGACAGGGGACTAACAATATTCATAGGGGATAGGGAAGACAACATATATTCATTTAATTGCACACGCTGTCACTGCACGGTGTAAACGTCTTCTGGCTTGGCTCAGTAGAGGGGTGGGACCTCAGACAGGTAGAATGCCATAGACTACACCGTCCAAACCAGCCACTTTGTCCTGGGTAACAATTGCTGCCAATCTCCAGGTGAGGGCTACAGATCACTCACAATTACAACTGCTCTTCAGGTAGTAGAGATCAGTTCCTCTGGAGAAAACAGTGGACTCTGTCATTATACCCTGCTGAGGTCACCACAGCAAATTGACACTGTTTGCCCAAAGCCAGAGCACTCCCCCAGAGCCTCTTTCTAGATCTCGTTGTATTGCTTTCACAACGGGCTTTACTGCTAGTTATATTATATAAAAAAGAATGGGCTGCTGCTTCCTGGATAGAAATTCACAGAAATTGCCTCCTCCCAAACTCTTGCTAGAACTCTTGCTTCATTCATCACAATAATCACAATTTCTCCTAATTTCTCCGAATGCTGTAGCCCCTGTGCGCTGCATCCATCCCTATTGCCCTCAGGCACCCCCCACCAGCAAGTCTTGGCAGAAGCTTGGGGGAGGGGTCTAGGCAGCTTCAGTGAAAAGGAGGAGACATCCTTCCGACGAACTTAGGATCCTGCCTCACAGTTGCCTCCAGAAAGTATTCAAGTGCTTGGGGGCTGCCAGCTCTCAAGCGGAAAACAGTAGTAATTAAAAATATGCTTTCGTGAGGTGACATTCAAAACTGATGGTGTATTTTAGTATGTACTTTTGAAGTTGTGACAAGACAAATCCCCTAGGTAAATCTCAATAAAAGTCTGCCTAAATAGTATCCAAGGCAAACTGATGGGGGAAATAATGTATTCTGTCAACTTCCACTGTCCCTAAGTAGGAGAAACAAATTTAAAGGATGAAAATTTGCTGCAAATGGACAAGCAGCCAATGTTCTTGTACTTTGATAAAGAGAGTCACACCCTGATTTCAATGGACTTCGGTTGTAACTCTGCTTAGGCATCCCAAACAGTATGTCTAACATGAACAAGAAATAAAACTCACAGGACAATCCTAAAGAGAGTTACATCCCTCTAAATCCACTGAAGTCTATGGAATTACAAG